CTAGGCTACAGACCCCAAGTGAGGGTACCTAGCATCCAGACATATTGCACCGCTGTGTGTCATACACCGTTCTTTCATCGTTCTGGTATGGACCACCCCAAAACATTGTTCGAATTAGATAGGCCCTTACAGTAGGCCTTTCAATGTCGAGAACTCTGGGATTTCAGCTACAGAGTCCTGTTCATCAAGACGGCCTATACCTCCAAGTGGTCTAGGCCCATACAGAGCTACCAAAGACTCTCGGGGGTTTGAATGATATCGACAAGGCTCTAATTATGAGGAATTGTCATGGTACAAGCTCGTTAATCATGAAGAGATTATACAGGGATGATATCCCTTTACTCCCTACAAGTTAGTAGATATGGTGCAAGAGGGGGAGGCGTGTGCATTTCCCGAACCTCTGTTTGCGTTGCAGAGCTGCTAAATATTTGACACTGGTCACGTTCTGCACGGCCTCACCCCGTTAAAAAGAGCATGACTATACCCACAAACCCTAAACCCTAAGCAGTAGCTTATTTTCCATTATCCCAAGATAACCCCAATAACCCTATAAAACCCTATACACTGTCATATACTCCTGTATTCCCGCTACCCCCCCAACAAGTCTGTGGGTCCTCTGAATGCTGACGAGAAGGTGGCTTAGCTTCTCAGATGCTGTCAGTGTGCAAGAGCACGCTCTGCAACAGACATGCGACTCTAGCCCCTAAGGGCATATTAGGGTTATACTGGGGATATGTTAGGGTTATATTAGGGATATATTGGGGTTATATCAGGGTTTATATTAGCGTTTATATTAGGGTTATGTTAGGGTTTATATTAGGGTAATATTGGGGTTATCTTTGGGTTATATTCGGGTTTATACTAGGGCTATATTGGAGTTCTATTGGGGTTACATTAGGGTTTATGTTAGGGTTATAGTCGGGTTGTGTTAGGGTTATATGAAGGTTATATTGGGTTATATAGGGAGAAGGGAAAAGAAAATGGTAACTACTATTTAGGGCCCAGGGTTTAGTCCCCCTTAAGTAGATAGAATATTAGGGTTACGTTGGTGTTATATAGGGATAATGGAAAAGAACATGCAAACTACTTTTCAGCGTTTAGGCTTTCAGTCCCCCTTAGGTAGATTATCATATGACTCTTGGTATATTATAATAAGATCCCCATCATATACCCCATATTCCTGCAGCTCATGCGCCATCCCTTGCAGGATGGACGTATGCCTATTAATATTGTAGTAGTTTCCATTTTCTTTTCCATTATCCCAATATATCTATAGCCCCTCTAGCTCTGTTGCATGAAACGCTTGGAAGAGTGACGTGATTGTCCTAGCCTCCTGGCCTTTAGTCAAAAAACGGGCTTCTATGGAAACAGCTGCGCGCCTCTTTGGAACGGCGTCGCTGTAGCGCATTTCCAACTCGATCTGGGAGGGTTGGTTCACTAGGTGCAAAGGCCATCAGGGCTTTCATTTTGTACGCGGCTCCTTAGTTGCCACATAGGACTCTCCATACTCTCCGCTGTCCCTTCATCTACTGAATCTACTACTTCATGCCCAAAAATGGGATTTCGCATTTTTGGATATTGTTGTTCGCCTATTACAGGACATACAGGGACAACATTGAATTACTCAGGGGGCCTGTTCTGCTGTGGAACACTTTAACAATTTTACGTGCAGACCAAGCTCAAATGAAGTTTCATATGTTTGTGGGCGTCCCCTGTGCATACTTGAGAGCATCCCTCAGAAACCATCTCTCTGAACGAGGGGGACCTACCCTCATGAAGGTCATGAGGGGTCAATACTGATGGGGTAAGCTCCTGTAAAGCTCAAGATCTCGTCAAGAAGTCAATAGCACTCAAACCGAGGCAACAGCTCCACCAATGCCCAGCTTATCCAAAGTCGCGAAGCCTCAAAGGCTTAGTGCTCATGAAGTGGCGAGAGGAGAGCTTAGGGCACACGAAGCATGTAGTATGGGTTTCTGACATTCTGGATGGAGTGCAGTTAGAGATTATTTCTGGCCGTTTGGGCTGTTTCAAGTGGCTAGTTGCCATCAGCTCCTTTCCCATCCCTCAGTCATTTTAGGAACCACTCCTCAGAGCGGCGCACGCTGAACGTCCGCTCTGTTGTGCTAATTAGTGGGATTTCATGGCAGACTTAGTGGCCTAGGAATTTGTTTCCTTTTACATGGCCACACAGTAGCCGCGACTGTCTAGAGTCTAGAATCTTATACTACTCAGAACGCTATATGCAGCTACAAGTTGGCTGCTACCGCACAACAAACCTGCTCTGCATGCAATCCTTCTCATGGACCTGACATTATAAAGGTTCCTGTCTTATTGCAATGCTAATCCCTAAGGGTCCGAGGTCCAAAGTAACATATGCTTTGGCTCCCAAACCGATACGGAGCCAATCACATGGGCCAACAACAAGTACTACACATAGTTGGGTCCTTAGGAAGGGGATGATACAAGAACCGCAACTGGGCTATTCACATCACCTGGCACGGGAGCCAGATTTCGGAGACACACGGCGCACATAGATCCTCTTTATAACAAATAGTATGCCCCTGTCATCCCTCACCTGATGTGCTGCCAAGCAGCCGGAGATAGATGTGATTGCGCCGATGCCGCTGCTGGGTGCAGGAGCTGCGGCCTCTTCCACACCGCTCAGAGTTTCGGGGCATGTGAGTGGCCGAACCTCAAAGGGACCCTCAGTTGCAGGGATTAGAAAGGAAAAAGCAGGGAAAGCCTTCTGAATAGGTGCAGGTACGGCTTGGGGCGCCTGCGTGGAGGTGCGTGGCTCTTAATTTACACTGGAGAACAGCAAGGTATCTGTTGACGTCAAGGTACAGCACAAACAGCCCGATTCACAACTACCATGAACCTCCAAGTAATCTTCTAAATTGAAGTTTGACATGTTCCGGCTGCATAGAACCCCCGGCCGTCCTGGGCAGGATAGCTTGTGCTACAATACGAGGCCAGCTCGTAGAAGCATGCCCTTCTGAAAGCAGCAGCCTACATATCGTAGGGAACAACCTCTCCTTACGCAGGCAAGACAGGTGCATGACCTTTTACCATGTACCTAGACAACCTGACATGATTCCAGCATTTTGGAAAGCTATGGTGCTAAAGGAGAGCACTTGAAGACTTGACAACAAGCGTGGGCTCAACGATGTTCTGACATACTAACTGTTACGAGCCCCTTTTGAAATTGGACTCCAAACGCCAAACGATGCACAAATTCGGAGACAACAGCACCTTTCCGGGGTTCTCTCAGTGCCCCTGTAGTTGTGCAAAGTGCCAAATTAGGGTCTGTACTTTTAGTATCCTTTTCGAGGTCTAGCAAAAAAATGCCATGTGTACTGGGCCGCACAGGAAGATTGAAATCTCATGCGGCCTTGAGAATTCGTAGTTTTCATAAGTAGGGCATTCCAATATTGATATAGACCACAATACGCTATAATCCTATAATCCTTAATATGGGGACCCCCAAAAGGGACTCCCAGTTTCCAAAAAAATCCCCGTTGAACATGGACTGTTCCCTGCCTGATGGTGGCGGTGCACTTTTCGCCTTAGATGCAGGTTCCAAGCAAGGAAGGCCCCCTATCTGGGACTAGGGTTCCCTGTTGTGGGGTCTTATTATGAGGATTAATTATAGCGTTTGGGAAAGTTGGTGGTCGATATTGCAGCCCCCTGTTTGTGGAAACGATATGCTCAAAGAGCATAGTCGCGGAGCCTCACTGGGGTGTGTTGGTGGAGCTTACGCTCCTGACGTTCCTCTTGGGTCTTTGAGCACACATGCACGAGTCTTTAGCTTCTTGAAGGCCTGAATTCAAACAGCCGAACTCGCACATAACTCAGGCACACCACAGCAACAAACACGGTGTCATAAAACCAGCACGACAAGCACAGAATTCATCTGAGCTATAGCCCAAACTCCTCGTGTCCCCCTTAATAGCCCCTATAATACTCACCCCTCTAAGAGCTGAGTATACCCCCTGCTCCACTATATCATCCCCTTTGGAATACCCCTTTAAGGGGTTTAGACTATAGCTTAGCTGAGTTCCCGAGCCTTTACACTGAGCATTCGAGCGGTCTCTGCCGCATGCTCGGGGTCTGGCTCAAAGCCGCCGTCGCCAATGATCGTGTCGCCGAGGAAGAGCCTAAATATATAGGGATACTATAGGGATAATGGGGTTATATTAGGGTTTATATTGGGGTTTATATTCGGGTTTATATTAGGGTTATATTAGGGTTTATATTAGGGATATTGGGGTTATATTAGGGTTTATATATTGGGGGTCATATTAGGGTTTTGTTGGATAATATAGGGATAAAGGAAAATGGAAACTACTATATTCAATATGGGTTTTATAGGGATAACATAAGCATAATGGAAAAGAACATCGAAACCCTAGGTCCCCTTAAAGGGACATATAGGGGCTTTGTAGGGATAATTCAGGGATAATGGAAAAGAAAATGGAAACTACCATATTAAATATGGTTTTATAGGGGTTATATAGGGGTAATGGAAAAGAAAACAGAAACTACTTGGAGGGTCAGGGGGATTTGGTAGGTAGGTGGATGGCAAAGTTGCTGATTCTATCCTGTGTCAAGGCTAGGCCGCGAGCCTTCGGAAACTAGTGCTCAAGCTTTAGGATTGTCAGGTTTCAAGGGTGTTCTCTTAGATGTTGGGGATTGGCAGTCGTGTAATTGATTAAAGGAGTTTTGGGCCGGAGGCCCCAACCGCGTCTGCCAACTTGCAGGTCGGTTGCTGTCATGATTCTGAGGAGGTCTGTTAAGACTGCCGTATCCCCAAGAAGCCTGTAATCATGCAAGCGTGAAGCCCCAACCTTGAAATATTTCAACAACGCAAAGCATCAAGAACGGTCACCCTCACATCACAATGGCCTGAGATGAAGGGAAGCACTCACCTTTACGGATTCCCAGATAGGGACCCATGCCTTCTGGGAGCCTGCTCTGAGCAAGGCCTTTTTGAAGCAATTTCAGCTGGCTCCCGGACCTTGCACAGACCTCACACTAGCATGCGAGCGCAAGGAAGGGATGGAAGGCGTGGAGGGCCAGCGGGATCAGGAGGAAAGGATGCGCGCATTCTAATCATTGCAGCATGGTTTAAAGCCATATATGGAAGGCCTCTTTAACGATGCGAGAATGACACGTCATAGTCTTTCCAAGCTCCCGCGTCATCACAGCTGGACCCTACATCTATCCTCCTCCCACAGAAGCATGCAACGGCATATAACGCTTTCCCAAGCACAGGCATCTTCCTACCGCCCTCTTCATAACCAGGCCTTCACACTCATTGCGTGGTAGTGCACACTACCAGCCCTAGTAGCCCTATATATATATGTCCCAATTCGTTCTTAGACAGGCTAGTCAGTGTTCGCCGATGGGCGTGGTCGTTCAAGAGCAACCATGCCAAGCCTCGTTCCTCCTTTGAATACTAGTTTGGTTGTCTGAGCTATCCCGAATGCTTTTATAAGCGCCGGTGGCGTACTACCAGAAAGACGGAAAATACAGCAAACAAAAAACAAAGGTTTCTCCAGAGAAGTGGACAACAACTCCTCAGGGTGCAGCTCCTTGCTCGGCTGATCGCTGGGATCCTCAAGTCTTCATTGTAGCTTTGTAGGGATGGTAGTGGTAGCGGCAGTAATAGCTGAACCTACCAGTAATAGTAATAGCAAGAGTTGTTGCCATTTCTTTTGCTGCGCTGCTGGCGGTGGCAATGCTGGTGGTGGTGCTGCTGCTGCTGGCCCTAGAATGTATCGGTCTCACGGGTGTGCACGTTTAAGTATATGGCTATGCAGTTTCAGGATTAACGCCACTTGGAGTGCAGGATCTGGTGCACAGCTGCCATTACCATAGAGCATTCTTTGCCGTCACTGACGTTGCCGAACGCCGGATCTCCAGGATTCTGGGCACAGGCTAGATTTGCGACTCAAAAGGCCAGACTGTGCGCTTGTGGTTAAATGCTTCTCCCACCTCACAATGAAAATCTGGAAGAACCACATGTTTCAGCAACTGCCTTGATTTCTTGTGACAAGTTGCTAACGCACAGAAACTCACGCGCCAACTATATGACTATATGAAATGCCATAAGGACCCTTTGCGTGAGGAATCTCCAAAAGAAATACAGAATACAAATAAGGACTCGCTGCGAACGAATTACGTCAAGTTGGGGTGCATGTGAAGCTTTTGCTCAGAACAGTAATGTAGACCTCTCTTGCAGAATAGTCATGCACGCCAGCCCTCAGCCGGTGGAGGTTCTTGTGTGGTGCTGAACTTCCCTACCGTGCATGGGCGAAATGCTGCACCACCTACAGCGAAGTTTTGCAAGATTTCCTCCATCCACTGTATTTCCAGGACTCTGAGAGGTGTTTACGAGACAGCCCAGGTAGAAGACGTTCCAATATGATTAAGCAAGCACGCAAAAATATCAGAAATATGAGCAGGACCCCATCGTGCCTCAACAACTTCAGGAAAACCCTATACAAGCCATGCTCCCGATATTCGATATTGAGTCAGTCGCGCAATCAAAACTCCTTCAAGCGCGAACTAGGCCAGTGGGCGCACTACAAAAACAGTGAAATTCCATTTAACGCAGTATCATTAGCAATAACTATACTACTTGTACTGCAAGCGGCTATGTGTCACAAGTTGGCGATAACTCAAATCCTATCCAAGCTTGCAAAGAAGGCATCAACGCGCGCAAACTCACAGACACCAACATAAACCCTCGTGCAGCCCCTAAGAAGGCACCCCAGCTTCGAGAGATAAAACGCGCTTCTCACCAAACACGGAGCCGAGAGAGAGAGAGAGAGAGAGAGAGAGAGAGAGAGAGCGGGGAGAAGAAACACGTAGCTCAGCTCTGAACATCTCTCTCTTCAAGAACTGGCCTCGGGCCTTGGATCAAATTCTGGTGGTTTTGGTTCAAGGGGTGTATAGCGCGAAGAGGTTTCTACGGGTCCGTGAGAATAGGACCAAGGAAGCTTTCATAGTGTATGTGCTAAGACGTTGCTTTTGAAAGTGTCCTCCGAACAGAGGGTCCTCTTGGTTTGGGGCATCAATACAAACTCCAAGTTGGGCAAATGCAGATGGACCTTCACGGTGTGACAAAGCTTTCGTAGACACCCCCGGGTGCCTACCTTCCAGGCATCATGCAGAGGAATGCTGGTAAGGTCGAGAGAGGAGGTAGCGCAGTCCGTTTGAAGTTTACAGCTGAGAAAGTAAATCAACCACAGCCAGCAACGTGATCTTAATAATAACGACATATAACGACTACTAGTGCTAATGATAACAACAGAAATAGTAGCCGTACTAATGACAGTCATAAAACTGGTAGCACGAGTAACAAGAACAACAATAGAAATAACAATAGTAGTACCTGTGGTCTAATTGTTGAAAGGAGGTCAGACGTGATCAACTGCATATGCTGTAAACAAGCCAACGACGCAATGCAGGCATGGAAACATGTCAGCAAACAACGAGCCACAACGAATCGCAAGTCCTTAAATGCACCCTCTTGCTCCAAATCTTTGACCATCCTACGGTTTGTGGACGTCGTGAACAAGAAAAAGCATATGGAAAGGCAACGAAGAACAGCATGTCTTCGTCGGCTCTTGGGGGCGGGCAGCCTTCACTCCCAGCGGTTCAAGGGAGCAAGGTCCTTGCTACGAGCTAGGGTCAGCACCCAGGTGTGTCATCTGCAGGCTCAACAGCCTCTGGCACATTCGGGGAAAGCTGACGAGCAAGGCAACAAAAGGCTTAGGGTTTGCACTTCAAAGCTGGAACTTCCATACCTATATTCATCATTACATACCCGGATCCTGGGTAGGTTCAAACGGAAGATTGGGATCTTTCGGGGACTCGGGTCCGTTACATTTTGAGGGGATGAATGGCTTTTGCTCACCAGGTACTTGTTGGAACTTCGAGATTCAGCGCCGGCACAGCCTCTCGGCTTGGGTGAAGATTTGATGTGAAACATGGAGGCCAAGAAAAGAATGTAAGCAAATAAACAGATGGGGACATCCCATATGAAGAGGGGTCCCTATGACCAACCCCCAGAAGCAGTCAAAACAGATGCTTGGGCTCGTTTTTTTCTCGAAAGGCAACGGCAACCGGCACAGGTCTTCCACTCTGGCTTCTTGCTGGCACCTGCTGAGACTCCAATCCGAACTACACGTCGCGGCTACGCTCCTCCAGTGGTCCGTGGTATCGCACCTATTACACCCAGTAGACTTTCATACTCTAGCCAGGTATGAGTCAGATCTACAAGGCCTGAATGCGACAGCTCAATCGTTTCAATACACAGCTTGGCGCGGGACCCGTTGCATGGCGACAGGTTTACCCTCGCCCTGAGCGTCTACACTCTGGATTCTTCAGGGGTTACAGAAGACTGCATAGTCATGATGCGGCGCTTGGGGCTTTGTGTAAGTGCGCTGGCCAAGTATTGGGGTCACTGGGTGTGCGGATCACAAATAATGTTCAGGATGCTGGGAATCGAGTTCTGGACCCTTGGGTTGGGAAGGCTTGACGGGCTTCACAAGTGGAGGCTTGGGATTTGTGGGGTTTGGTTTCAGCAGCTGATGAAGCATGACTGCTGTGAAAGAACACCACCTTGGTTTGCGACAAGCTTTGCGACACAAGCCATGCACAGCCTACACACGCACATGTGCCTATACATCGGGGCCCTTTCGGGTATATAGTCCCCCTTAAGTAGATAGAATATGGGGTATATGGGGATTGTATTCTAATATATTCTAATATACCCAAAACCAGAATATCAACTTAAGGGGGACTATATTCATACTCAGGATCCTCATGGCTTTGCGGTAGGAGCACGTGAAAACATCCACCTAGCTCGGCTCGTGCGCAACGGTACCTGCTGTCAGGACCCTATGCCTAAACTAAGCAGTCGCGGAACCTTGCCAGCAGCAGGTCAGGTCGCAAGCCTACGTCTGCTCCTAATGAGAATTCTGAGCGATGGGGTTCAAAACAAAATTTACACCCGTCGGTTCTGATTCTAAGTCCTACACCTTAGAGTCTTCAAATCGCAAACCCGCTTCAGGGCAAGTGGGGGAGTGTATACAGCTATAATGGTCCCTATATTCACTCCCCCACGCCCCCTGAAGCACCGGTAGTTGGAACTGAGGACGCGGCTCCACGTAGCAGCCTTCTTTGGGCTTTCCTGGGTCATTGTTGGCTCATGGGAGTTGAGAAGAGCCATTGTTGGATTTGTTGACTCAAGCATGTTGAACGCCCATGAGGCTGCAGCAAGATGCCCACGAATGTTTTCACTCCTACCATTTTAACTTGTTGACCCAGCTTCCGTCGGAGTCGATGAGGTCCTGCGGCTCCCACGTGTAAGGCAGTGCTTTCGTCTAGTTGCTTATTTGGGAAACGCGGTAGTGTCTCAGATAACGCCGTGTGAAACTGTGAAGGCACTGGAACATACTGGGACCATCTGGGACTGACGTGGCGGAGCCTGGTTGTGTTAAACCTGCCGTGATGTTTCAAGCTATACTGCTACCTCTGCAAACACTGACCACTCTAAGATGTAAGCCAAGAGCTAAGAACCGTACCGGCCAAAGACTACAGCGTTGTGGTGTGCAGCTTGCGGCCTAGGCTGGTGCAGCCTGCCCTGGCTTTGCGGGCTTGGCTCGCATTGCAACTCTGCCCCACCCAAAATTGCTGCTCATGAATTATCTGCGGTCTCGAGGAGATGGGCAAAGGGGGCTCTGAACGTATTATCCCCAAGCGTAAATGCGCAACACTCGCAGCACAAAAGTAGCAAACAAAAAAGAGTTGCCCCAAAATGCAAAGCCACAACGCGAGGATTCGCTGTAATAAGCCGGATCCCACCAGCCTTGAAACTTATCATGCTGTATTGTATTACTGTAGATTTAGAAAATTCGAAGCACTGTAGATTGCAAAGTGGGCTGCAGCCCTAGCTGATTGCAATGTCTGCCCATCTAACCCCGCGTACTCCACAGGATTGCGCTGCACATGGTAGAGGAAATTCGCCGGTCTTCAGGCGGCAACCGCCCTTCATGAAAGCACATGCAAGCCTAAATGAGGTCCTGGAAGTCCCAGAGTTTCATCTTACCACCTGCAGGAGGGTGGTTCTCACTGGTTGGAAATTTCGATTCAGGCTCTTCTTACAGCAACAGAGCTCACAGCCCAAGCTCAGATGATGGGGCCAAGTTGTCAGTGCTCTTGCAACTCATCATGTTGCGCCCTGTTCTTCAGATGCATCTGGGTACAGGAGTACAGATGCCCGATGTAAATGACACTAAAAATCTATTTTGTCCCCTGCAGAACGCTACCCGTGGCAGTGCCTGACGATCAAAGGTTCAGGTCACGCAACAACTGATTCGCGGTTTCTCGAAGGTAATCTGAGGGACCTAGGGATACACGGTGATTACGAGCAGATCATAGCAATTTGACCGAAGGATCATACTTTGAACAATTTGGGCATTCGCTAAATGACTCGCGCAGCCCCCACATTGCATTTGGCTACCTAGATATCGGATTCTTATCTCAACTGTCATTGCCCAAACCGTCCGGACCTTCCGTCTCTGGTTAGACATATGTCGTTCATAGCAGGTCATCAAAAATGTCGAGAGGCTTGGATCCTCATAGTCGGCGGATGACTCTTGCGCTCTTCATTCACGACTGTGCCCCCTATACCCCGCATCCTAGCCAGGAGCCCTTCAAATCCCATACCTAAGGCGCAAAGTCCTAAACTCTGAATCCCAAACCCTAAGCATGGAACCCCACCTTGTCCTGGATCCGGATCACAGATGGTTGCATTGCTAAAGCACCTGCAGAGCTTGGTTCTTCATAAAGGTTGTAGGAGTTCCGGGTTTGGCTGCAGGGTTCTTCCAGATATGCACCCTTCTTGTGCATAAGAAATTCGTGCGTCAGATGACGTCCCAAGATTTGGGATCAACTCAGTTACTTTTCGCCAAGTGATACTACAATCCTTGCTGAGCGCGATCCAAACTAGGATAAGCCGCCCACGCAGTAGCAGCCCCGAAGGCTGTTACTTACATGCACACCAGCATGGTTTCAAGCTTCAAGACTAAGAGATGGGTACGGAATCAGGGCGGGAACCTGAGGTCCAAGGTGTCATTCGAAGAAATATACACGCACTCTTGGACGACCGGCGTGGTCTGACATCCTCCAACACTTCCCTACCACAGGCCGCCCACGGTCAGGTGTCCTGCCTGGAGATATCCCTAGACTAGGCCCTAGACAGCAATGGACAATGAACCCTTTTAGCATGTTTGCGTTCACGCAGTCCCCGAACTGTTCTTCGGAGGTTCCCTTCCCCTGTGGCATAGCGTCAGCTTTGTAGCCTGAGTTCAAGAAGAGTTTATCAGGTGAAAACTCCGCGAGTATCCCACTGGTACCTTATCGGCATGTTTTAGCCAGCCTATGCCAACCTGCAGCTACAGGGTACGAGTCTTTCTCAAGATGGGGTACCCTTAGGATATACAGGTGTTGTAAGATGATGATGGGAGCTAGGCGTATGCAGAAATAGTTTCGGAGCAATCGATCTGAAGCCCTAAGTCCAAGTGCCCGGTGTCAACGCCACATCTTGGGAGTCCAAATGCGCAACAGTTTTTGGTGCAAAAGACCATTCTGATTGTAGCAATTGAGACCTAAACCCAAGTTATTGTACTTGGATCCTTTGATAAGTCCACATCTTACATGTTAGTCTCCCCCCCACACCTTCTGGCCCCGAACAGAACCAACGGAACCCGAGGCTGAGGCTTTCGTAGCAAGCGCCCTGTCCAGGGATCCCAGAGGCCACCAGCAACCTCAGGCGGGGTTGCTGCTAAGGAGCCCAAACTAAGTTAGCATGAAGAGGGGGTTCCGTTGCTTACTACGTATCTAGACTACGGTAAGTCAAGCCAGTAGCTGATGCAGCTTTGTCAACATGTTGGAGTTACAGTATGGACAAAGTTGCGGATTGCCTTGTTAGACGTGTCTCAACGGCTGCTGCCAGCCTTTGTCAAAGCAATTCAGGCGTCAAGCGGTTTGAGGTGCCGTGCCGTTCGAGGCATTTGCTGTTTGAGGCTCGAACGGATTGGGAATGACAGCCTGCGGTTCCATGTCTCTGGCTTGAAATGTTAGGGTCTGTGGTTTGGGATGATGTGTGACATGCCACGCATCCTCGCCAAATGTCATCTTGTAGCCCCTCACCGCCTCTCTCCTGAAGGCACCAGATTCGCCAGAATCTAGATACACAAAGCTGTCCATGTACTGGACCATAGCACTTAGATAACTGCGCCCAAATACTCCTGTTTGACCCACCAAAAGACCCACAGTCGCAATTTTGATAATCCCAAAGGCCTCTACAGCCGCATAATGCTCACCATCATTCCAATGCCGCTCTGTACAACCCTCGTTGTGCCTACCCCCAACCGACCGGGATTCTGCATATCAACAGTAGAGCCTGACTTAGGGCGCCCATGGGCATCAAATCATAATCGTGTGGGCATGACATGGATTTGTGGATTTGAGGCCAGTTTAGGGGTTTAGGGTAATGTGGAAATCCGAATGCCAAAGCACAATAGAATTGAACAAATGGTGCTTGAAATGGAGACTGGGATTATAACAGGGCTTAAGGTTTCTCGGAGCTATTGTCTTTTCGGCAGGTGCTCAGCTGCAGGCTCCCACCATTCCGAGATATGAGTGTTTCCGAAGATTACGGGTACCTTTTTAGAAGTCCCCATGGTCAGGATCTAGCAACATGGGGTCTATAGTGGGTTCCCGCTATTTAAATATGGAAAATATACATTGAAGAAAACACGATTTTTTGCACACACTGATCTGCCAGAGCATGTTTAGAAGGAGGTTGCAGGGTATATCAATGCTGGGCTATCAGAGATGCATGGGTATGTCAAAAAACAGAGCCACCCCATGAATCAGAATACGATGTTCGTTATTTTTGGGAACTCGAAACCAGCCACCCCCCCGAATTGCCAGTGCATCAAGAAGTTATTTTGGTGTGAGCCTGTCCACACTGCCGCACTTGCGCCCAGAATGGGTAGGCTTTGGCGGCCTTTGCCATCAGAAAGAAACAAAAGTGAGTGATGACCCCATTCCCTGCCCCTGGCAGGAAGAGTGCGCAGTCTAACTTGGAAGACTGTGGCCTGAGGTCGAGTCCCGTTGCGGCTGCGCGCCATTCTGCTGCTGGTACATGATCTCAGCGATGGGTCGCAGAGCGGCTTCTGGGCGTAGAATGTACCAGTCTTCTAATTCTGGACTATGGAGGGTCTTATGGACTTCGTACCAAAGTACTAATACAATTTCAGGTGCCCGAAGCCAAACCGCTCGGTTCCCAGGCGTTGACCACAAGGATTGACCGCCAGCTGGTGATGTTGATGTTCACCTAAGAAAACATGTGCTGAAGGGAAGTGGGTAATCAAACTACATAAGCAACTCTGTGAACATAAGGTCCACTGCCTGTCAGATGGTCTTGTCAGATGGTCTTGTGCTTGAGTATCCAGTTTGCCAGAATGATTCTCTGGTTCAACCCCTTTTAGTCGGAACATCGCGTTTTGAAACAAGTCCCGGGAGAACAAATTCTACGCGCTGACTGATGGCTTGTTCTGCTGACGCTAGCCGTAGCGCATCGACCCTTCCCAGCGGATTGAAAACTCGCATTAGCAAGAAGATATTATGTGTGATGCTTGTATATCTATCTTCCTAATTATCTACCTATCTGCATTTCTACCTGTCTACCTATCTGCATGCATGCATTGCTGACTGAACTACAAAGGAAATCTACATATGCTCTTGTAGTGAAGTCTCCTACAAACTTGCGTTCCCATCTGCATGCTCGATTGAAAGTTCAAGCGATCCAAGTCCATGCACAGTGCACAAGAGCTGGTGCCGGAGGGGGGCTGTCTGCTGAGCATCTGCATGGAACCTGGCGAAGAATCAGGCCCCTACGTTGTCGCCCTCGAAAGGGTTCATGTTCTTCTGCATGATTGCACGCACCTGGTGATGATCAGGTAAAATAAATAAATAAAGCTGAGAGGGAAGATAGAGGAAGCAGTTCAGAGCTGAGGGGCCAGGAGGCTCTGATTAAGACGAAACCACCTGTTAAACCGAGGCAGGTTGTCAATACACTCCTGTGGTGTTGGGGGAGCCCGAAGGGGAGGAATGAAGGGATTGTGATTTGGCATGGGTTGGCTAATTTCCTTGCATAGTGGACCAGCAACGCGTGGAAGAATGCTCGGAAACTAGAGCGAGTCAGCCACTCCCAGGACATCACAAATATCCGTTTGAGGGAGTCTGGGCTATAGGATCCACATGTTCAAATGCGGAACATAATTACCGACATAGTTTGCAAGATTTGTGTTTCGCCGCGCATGAGGCATCTTCGGCAGGCTGAGATGCTGCCGAGCTACTGTTGCAACCCCTGATGGAACCACACCCGCCGAAAGAGCTCATCACGCAAGCACGGCTCCGAAAGGCCATGCCTCATATCTCTATCTGCACGAACTGAAAACCACGACCACGCATCCCCTTGACGCTTCGGCAACAGGAATCTGCAGCCCAAACTGCAAGAACCCAAGTTGGATCTCCCAGATCTATCACCCGAACTGTTTGAACCCACGTCGGCCCTTTACATCGGCTAAACAAATATGGTGCCGTGAGCCCGGCAGGGACGCTGCGTGTGGCGACCACGTTGTACGGACTCAGAACGGCAGGCGTAAGCTGAAAATCGTTGGTGGTTGGGACCGAATGGTACAGGTTGATAAAAGTTTTTTCTTGCTTAAGCTCTGTCCTCAGGCTTCGGGGCAACTTCAGAGGGCTGAAGTTTCATCCGCGCTGGGCTTAGATCAGAGAATTCCGGTTTGAAGTCAAGGGTCTAGAGGTTTATACTTGGACGAGTGGCACTTCATAACGCCTTGTAATTAGAGGACTCATGGAACCTTTGGTTTACTGCACTTATGAGAACTTGACCTTGAAGAGAACACGCCGGAACGCCGTTGTGAGGTGTTCGGTGCCTTGCTCGAAGGAATTCTTGTCCGGAAGGGCAACGAACAACACCCTGTTGCTCCAAAGGTTGGTGAACTATGGCTTGCGATTGATGCTTGAGTTAGGAACACGAAGCTTAAGTGAAAGACTTCAGCTGCATGGAAGGCTTGTGAGCCTTTAGGCCGGCAAGGCTCCATCATCTGAATCCCTTCTTGATCCGGCCCTTCATGCATTTATATGCCACTCCTGGTTTGGCACTCCCTTTTCCGGGCTGGGGGTCCCCTGAAAAACAGTGTCGCACTTGAGTGGCCAAAAAGTGCCGTAGTAGTTGGGTGAGCGTGTTGCAACCCATGCCATCATGTCGGTGCCTCTCATGCCTCCGGAGTGCGAACAAAAGTAGCACATCATGTAAATAAACGCATTTGCAGAATCTGCGCCTCAGCTATGGACTATAAATACAGGACGTCAGAACCTAAAATATATATGTATATATATATGCGACCGACATAGCACTCGGAGTCTAAGCCTCAGGGCTAAGCAAGGCTGCTGTATCTGACAAAGTGGTGTGGCAACTGTAACCAGCGCCTGCTGGCAGAGGCCAGAGTCCAGATGCTGGCGTGTCGATATCATGGGTCTGCAAGTCTGCGCATGACACGTAAAACCATCGAACCGCAAGACGCTGCGAAAGCCTTGCACAGCCAGTTTTGCATAGATTGCATACTCTACGACTCCTGTCTCTGAAAGTGGTAGTATCGAAGCACGTCATGCTAAGAAACCCGAAGACTCCAATCTCGTGGTTAGTGGTTTAGTTATTGGTTCTCAGTAAGGAATCAGGAAACGTATTACATTGGGATTCTTCCCTTCCTTTTTCTACACTACTACGAACCAGTAAGTTCAAGAGGTCTGGGTTGTGGGAGCCTCTGGGCAGGTATCTGTACCAGGCCTCAGCTGCACCAACCTAGCTTAGGGACCTTGGGGGTAACAGATAACATTATTAGGGTTTAGGGTTATGAGCTTAGGAAGCAGGTCCCTCCTGAGTATATCTTGTAGGGATTCCTTTCAGGGACTCCCATCATGGACTATTCAGCTTAGATACTCCTCCGTGGCATGGAACTGGATGGTCACGAAGCCGTCCTTCCAGTTGCAGCACTAAAGAACAAGAAGTGCAAGAGCCTACAGGCTTCAGTCGAGAACCTTGAATAAATGCGCAGGTATAAATATCGACATCACAATGTCTCTCTCTCTCTCTCTCTATATATATAGGAATATGCAGACGTATGTGCATGCATGTATGTATGTATGTATGTATGTATGTATGTATGTAGGTATGTATGTATGTAGGCATGTAGGCATGTAGGTATGTAGGTATGTAGGTATGTAGGTATGTAGGTATGTAGGTATGTAGGTATGTAGGTATGTAGGTATGTAGGTATGTAGGTAGGTATGTATGTATGTATGTATGTATGTATGTATGTATGTATGTAGGTACGTGAGTGAAAATGGGCGCCCGATGCATGCACTCGCCAATCTTTAAAGGAACCCTATAGATCACTGCCAA